TGCAGCACAAATGTGTGGAAAACAATAATCTTTGGCCTTGTAAAATGTGTAATTCAGGACAAAACCTATTAACTGGATGAGAGCAGAGGCAGAAAGGGCAATTTTTGCCTCATCAGTGTCAGTAACTGCAGCTCTAATAACAGTAACAAAGTAGAGACTTGATTCTCATAGTGGGAATTCAGCCTTAAAACCAGACAATGAACTAAACCAGAATTAAATGATTTAAATCCAGACTTTTTCCTTATTTTCTATTTTTTATTTATTCAATTTTTTTCTATATAAATACTTATATTTCAGGGGATCATTGTCAGGCTCACTTTTTTCACAAGTGCATCACAGAAAGGAGGTTTTCTGTTGTGTTCTGGATACTTCCATGCCTTTAGGTGTCCTAGAATGGTTTGTGTTGGAAGGGACCTTAAGGATCACCCATTTCCAACCCCCTGCCACGTGCAGGGACACCTCCCACTAGACCAGGCTGCTCCAAGCTGATCCAACCCAGCCTCGGGGGAAGAAGTCATAGGGAAGAACAAGGCACTGAGACTTTCAGAGCTGGAATCTCCTCTCCTCCCATCCTTCATTCCAACAACTCCCGTGCCACAGCTCCTCTGCATCCACCAGTTTTCCCTCCTGATTATCCAGCATCAGTGAACCGAGCAAAAGATCAGCGGTGTTTTGTCACGGAGTTAAGTGGGATGAGGGATTTGTTCCGACCTCGGAGTTTTCCCGGTTCAGCCTCGTTCCCTCGCCGTTGTGTTACATCTGTTGCTCTCAGCGTGGGCTCCTTTAGCCCTGTCAACATCGCTTTCCACTGCCACTTGTCATCCCTGCTCCGAGCTCGGCTTAATATCTCCAGCTTCCATAAGCAAAGCTGATCACTGGGATTACTGAGAGCCTTGGACATGCTTTATTGATGAGGTGATTGACTTATCACTGCCTGGGAGATGAAGTTTTTTATCTTGGCTCGGGGCTTTTATTTTCCTAATTCGCATGCGACAAGATGCTTCCAGAAAAGGAAGGGTCAAATCCAGCGATTTGATAAATCCAGGCTTAATGCCACCAAAATCCACAGCTTTTGCAGATGTATCCAGATGTAACTGATGCAGGAAGGCACAAAGTATTGAAAATGATTTCTTTATGGCTCGTGATTCCTCCCTGTGACGTGCCAGGTACTCCCCAGCTCGGGACACATGATTGCTGCCACTGCAGTGCTTGAGGAAAACATCTGTTTTATGCCAGAATTTGCTCAGTCCTGGAATTCGAGTCTCCCTTGGACTTTAAATAGACTGAAATAAGGTTGTCGGGGGATTAGCTGGCTTTTTTTTCCCGGTTTTCTTTTATTGTTGCCATAATATCTTTTTTTATTAAATTGCTCACAGGTAACAGCACAGGGATGTGCTGTGATGAGCTCTGCTAGCTGGGCTGTTTTCAGGGAATCTCAGGTCACCACCATGGATGTCTGGGAATAGGAAATAGGAATCAGCCTTGTTTTTTTTGTGAAGCATTCAGGCCAACTTGTGTTTGTCGCTGTGCTCCTCGCAGTTGACTGCTTTGGTGTAAAAGGCATTTGAGTGGAAAACAGCATTTTTATCAAAGAAAAAAACCCACACTCTTTCCAACTCTGTGATTGTCCAATTAATCCAGGATTGGAAAGTTAAGCACTGCTAAAACAAAAATAGCTACTTTTTTTTTGTCTAGCACCCTTCAGGAAAGCTACAACTCCAGCCCAATTACTGAAAATAACAAGGGAAAATAGTAAAAGGAGGTAGAAATATGAGAAGGGGAAATTCTCACTGATACGTGAAAGAAATTGGAGCAAATAAAGAAACTTCTGAAAAGAAGATTTGTTGGGTTTTTGAGTGGTTTTGTTTGTTTGATTGGTTTTTTTAAAGTCTGCTTCTTAAGCACAGATAAAAAGCTATTCTAAATCAATGACTCCTAGACCTTTTTAAAATATGGAGAAATTTAGCTGTACATATTCCAGACAAATATTTGAGCTTTCTCCTTCAGGTGATCCCAATTATAAGATGCTCTTTGTTCTTCCCTTATGGTTTTGCTGCTGTGTTTTCATGGATATGGGGAGTGACAGAGCAACTGGGTCCTAATGGGATAAATTAAGCAGCCACTGACACTTTGTGAGGTGTAATTTAATTATCTCTCTTTTCCTGAACTTATCAATGCTTCCAGTCAATCCAAAACAGAAGTTAATAGTAGTTTTTATTTCTAAAATTATGTTAAAAACATAAATTATACAAAACAAAAAAAACCCACCTCTTTACTTTTCATGCAAGTTTTTTTTTTGTTTGTTTGTTTGTTCGGTTTTTTGTTTGGTTGGGTTTTTTTCTTTGTTTGTTTTTTTTTCGTGTGTGTTCTCCTCTTTTGTGGAAAAGCCCTGCAGTATTTAACAGGAATGAAACTCCACTGGGTTATTTGTAAGGATGTAATAAGGTGTACCACAAATTGTCACAGTGAAAACAAATCCACACAGCTTAGGAAAAAAGTAACGGAGAGGACAACAGGATTACCTTTCTAAAAATACTTTAATAGCACAGCTATTAAAGGTTATGATTTAAGATGATTCACAAAACAAACCTGTGAGCCAAAAGGAAACTCCTTCCAAACAGCAGCAGAAATTCCCTGAAGACACAGTCAGCCCAACTGGATAATCATCCCAGCACGGACGAGGTGAGAGCACCACTGCTGAGTTCATTCAAATTCTGGGAGAGATCTTCCATTTCATCTTTGGAGAGGGATCAGGGCAGTCTTCCAAAGCAGGAACTCACCGACAACTTCACCCCCGAGTCACCTTTGCCAAACTCCTGCAGCTACACAGGTCTGACCTCCGAGTGTTTCCCTCGCCCGGGAATGAAATCGCTTGGAATTGCCAGACAGCACCTGGTAAATGGGCCACCTCCTCCCCCCTGAAAGATGAGAAACGTGAAGGGTAAAGTGTTTCAATAAAATTTTGGTCCTTGGGGCTTTTGGTCTCCATACAATTGGCAGGATGTTTATCAGATTTATAGGTGTCATCGCTACGAGAAGGAAAAAAAGCTTTTAATTATTTGGCATTTTTCCCTTAAATTCAGAGAAAGCAACATCTCGATGACGCACGACAGAAAAGACCTGAATCCCACCCCGTGCCAAAACCCCACCCTTGCTCCCTCTAAAAGCTGTAACAGATCAATGAGAAGCTGGTAAGAACAAGGACCAGCCCTGCTGCACGGAACGGGAAGGTCTGGAAAAGCTCGAATTCCTCGGAAGAAAAATGTCCCGGGAGAACATGAAACATTATTATCGTATGAATAATACACTTATTGATTAAGCAGTATTTCTTCAGCTCCAAAATGCAAAACCAGCAAGATGCAGCCTGCAAAGCAAAGCAGCCACATGAGTTTTATCTCACTGTAATTTTTATGGTTGCTGCCCCTTGGAATACTCTGCCCGTTTTATATTGACACGTGTTTATATATTTCTTTTCTTACTTACTTCCACGAGGCTCGTGCCGAAGGTAAATATGATTTGTACCGAAAATTACTGCTAATTTTGCACAGTGGTTTTTGAAGTGTAACCTGTGATTCTTGTAGGATTAACTTGCTCTTCCTTCCTTCCCCCTTCCGAAAAAACACAACCCACCCAGTAAGACACAGTATGTTGTACATGCAGCTGTAGTCAGAGGATTTTGCAGACAACAAGCAGACAGCTGTATTCTGTTATCAGTATGCTTTTATGTCCCTTCTCCTAAGGGATTTTCTTTGGAGTCCACAGAAATAAATGATTATCAATGCAGCAAAAGATCAAGGAAACTGCTCTGATAGCAGTTCGGTGTTGTAAAACCCTGAAGTTTATGGAGGCTCAGGTGGCCCCTCAGCCCCTTTTAAAGCTTTTTTTAGCAGGGCCACTGGTGCAGAACTACATTTCTGAACAGGCAGTTGGGTTGCCAAGCCCTTGTTAAAATGAATTGTTGGTTAAAGGCTCTATCAAGAAAATCCTCTTTATAACTCCTTTTGCAAAGCCAACCACCACATAAAAGCTGCTGTCGCTTCTCAAATAAAAAGCAAACCCCTCCCAGGTACAGTTGTATCCTGGACTGCTGTATGAAAGCACTTTTTTTTTGGATGACTCTCCAGTCTCAGTCTGCAGTTCGTGGTGTTTTGAAGAGAATTAGTGGCTTTAGTGACAGCGAGTTGATGGGTTTTATTCTATTTATTTCTCTGTGTGGTGTCCTGGGCCACTGCGTGGCTATGAAGGAGGGCACAGACCTGCCAGAAAATGACAAATTATTAAGGCTAGAAAAGTTCTGTGAGATCATTGAGTCCAACCATGAAACCACCACCGCCAAGTTCCCCACTAAACCCTGTCCCCAGGTCCCACGTCCACACTCTTTTTTGAGCATTTCCAGGGATGGGGATTCCACCACTGCCCTGGACAGCCTGCTCCAATGCTTGACCACGCTTCCAGTGAAGAAATTATTCCTAATATCCAACCTAAAGCTCCGCTGGTGCAACCTGAGGCCATTTCTTCTCGTCCTGTCCCTCGTTATTTGGGAGCAGAGCCCGATCCCGCCCCCCCCCCCGGCTACACCCTCCTGTCAGGGAGTTAGAGAGTGATAAGGTCCCTCCTGGAGCATCCTTTCTGCAGAGTAAACCCCCCAGCTCGCTCAGCCGCTCCTGAGGGTTCCCCAGGTAGGGTCTGGACGGGAGGAGCACCGCGAGGATGAGGAGGAGGAAGGTGGGAACACGGAACATCCCCCCGGAGCGGCTCCCGAGGGGCGGCCGCGGCCGCGCCCTGAGGCGGGAGGCGCTGAGGGTGGCAGGTGGGCGGTGCCCACCCGGGCCGTCCCCTCCACCCATTGGCGGCCGGGGGTGAAGGGGCGGGGCACCGCGCCGCGGTGCACTCTGGGAGTTGTAGTCCGAAACCCCTTCACTGGTGCCGCGGCACCATCAGGTGAGGACTACAAGGGGGGGGAGAGGGGGAGGGTCACGTGGCGCGGGGTGGGCGGGACCGCGGGGGGTCACGTGATGTTTGGGTGCCGGCGGTGACGGGCGCGCGGCGGCAGGTGAGGGGCGCGCGCCGGGCCTGTCTTGGGGTGGGGGGGGACAGGGGGACAGACAGACAGACAGACAGACAGGGCTGGGCTGGCACTGCGGCTGCGTGACACGGGGACACAGCTGGCACGAGGGCTGTGTGACATGGAGACACGGGCACAGGGCTCGCCTGGCACAGGGTGTGTGTGTGTGTGGGACCAGGGGACACGGGGACAGGGCTGGGGTGGCACTGGCGGTGTGTGACACGGGGACACAAGGGCTGTGTGACATGGAGACAGGTCTGGGTGTGTGTGTGATCTGGGGACACGGGGACAGGGTGGCCTGGCACAAGGGGGTGTGTGTGACACGGTGACAGGTGGGGGTGTGTGTGTGTGGGACCAGGGGACATGGGGACAGGGCTGGGGTGGCACTGGGGGTGTGTGACACGGGGACAGAGCTGGCACAAGGGCTGTGTGACATGGAGAAGACAGGTTTGTGGGGGACATGGGGACAGGGCTGGCCTGGCACAGGAGGTGTGTGACATGGGGACAGGTGTGTGTATGGCAGGGGTGAGTGTGACACAGGGACAGGTGTGTGTGTGACCTGGGGACATGGGCACAGGGCTGGCACAGGTTGTGTCTGGCACAGGAACAGGTGTGTGTGTGTGTGTGTGTGACATGGGGACATGGGGACAGGGCTGGGCTGGCACTGGGGGTGTGTGACATGGGGACAGGGGCCTGTGCTGTGTTTGTGTGTGACAATGGGACAGAGCTGGGCTGGCACTGGGGGTGTGTGTGACATGGGGACAGGTGTGTGTATGACAGGGGTGAGTGTGACACGGGGACAGGTGTGTGGGACCGGGGGACAGGGCTGGGGCTGGTGTGGTGTGACCTGGGGACAGGGCTGGCACAGGGGGTGTGTGACATGGGGACACAGGGTGTGTGTGTGTGGCAATCAGGGACTGACTGTGCCTGCCCTTGCCCAGGGCTATGTGTGTGACAGTAATTTGGGATCAGGGCTGGCCTTGCCCAGGGCTGTGAGCAGGGAGGGACACCCACGCCAAGGGTGCTGTATCCCACAGCTGTGTCCCATGTCACTGGTGACCAGGTGAAGGTGGGGTGTCCCTGCACCCACTTTGCCACTGTCCCACCACTTGCTCCACACAATTATTTATTATCCTGATATATCAACCTCCAGCACGACGACAATGCTGGGAACTGTTCTGGGACTGGTCACAGGTTATGGCTCAGTTTGGACCTCACAGAGGGTATAATGATGCTTATTTACTATTTTTTCCCACTTTCCAGCCTGAGTCAGGAAGTTTGAGGCAGTGGGATGGATGTGGAAGTACAAGGAGAGGAAGTAAAACCGCTTTTAAAAGTACAAAGCATCGCTTTCTGCAGCGGTCCTCGACTGCAGAAACTACTTCTTTTTTTTTTTTTTTTTGGTTGCTTTTGTACTTTAAAAACTGTTTGTGGCTGGAAGCTTTTCATAAAAGCTCCCCTGAGCTGCGTGGTACAATTAACCTCCGGCATCTGGCACCAGGGTGGACTTTTCCAGGGAAAACCTCCTGTTCCCACAGAACTCGGTGCCTTTGTGTGCAAATCAAAAAAACAGAGGGTTTGGGAAACCTAAAAGCACGTTTCATTCTGCCACCAGCGCAGTGCAGACGTGCTGCAAAACCTCCCTGCTTGTTTGCATTTGGGGTTTTCCCTGACATTTGGAGCTCGAGGTGGATCCTCATGCCTGGAAGTGCTGTGGGAACAAGAGGCTGTTTGTTTGCAAACCCCGGGACGAGGCGAGCGTGGGGTGGTGGCCTCAAAGGTTGCTTTGTGCTTCATCCTGCTGGATCCTGAATTTTTACTGCCTCTGTGGTGTGGGCTGGGAAGGATTGACTAAATTATGGAGGTTACCCTCACCCCTTTTTTTTTTTTTTGGTGATTCTGTAGCAATAAGGTTTATATTTTATCCAGCATTTATCCCCTTTTCCAGGCTGGTATTTCCCCCTTTGCAGGGGGGCTGTGAACATTCAGTGCCCCATCCTGCCTTGGTGGTCCCTGTGTTGCTGTGGTCAAGGTGCCCTTACAGGTCTTTAAATCACAATGACTTGGGCCAGCTGCTCTCTGACCCCTCAGTGCCTTCCTGCCCCGCCATCTTCACCAGCTGTGACGTCCTTTTCCATCTCATCTCAGCTCCAGATTGGATTCTGAACTTTTCCTAGGGTGCTAATCCTAGAATCACAGAATGGTTTGTGTTGGAAGGGGCCTCAAAGACCACCCAGTTCCAACCCCCTACCATGGGCAGGGACACCTTCCACTAGCCCAGGTTGCTCCAAGCCCCATCCAACCTGGCCTTGGACTCTTCCAGGGATGGGGCAGCCACAGCTTCTCTGGGCAACCTGTACCAGGGCCTCACCATCCCCACAGGGAAGAATTTTTTCCTAATATCTAATGTAAATCTAGCCTCCTTCAGCTTAAAGCCACTCCCCCTTCTCCTACCACTCCATGCCTTTGTGAAAGTTCCCTCTCTGTGGTGTTGAGGCAGATGGTTCAGGTCTTTAAACCCCCCATGACTCAGGGCAGGTGCTCTGTGACTCCTTGTTTCATTCCTGCACCACTGTCTTCACCAGCTACAACATCCTTTTCCATCTTGTCTCATCTCCAAGTTGGTCTTTGGACTTTTTCCAGGGTGCTAAATGTGCTAATTCCCACTTTCCAGTGATCAGCCAAGCAAGAAATAACCCCTCTCTCCAAAGGCTCCCACCTTGCTGATTTGCTTATGTTTATTAATGCAATTAAGACTTAGCCCAACCACCACTGAAGCAGCTTTGATGGACATGGGAGAGGCTGAGCAGTGCAGCCACGTGTCCTGCTTCCATCCAGGCTCCTGATCCAGATCTCCATCCCTGTTTCCTCATGACTTGACTCACAGGGTGGGGAGGCCCTGGCACAGGTTGCCCAGAGAAGCTGTGGCTGCCCCATCCCTGGAAGTGTCCAAGGCCAGGTTGGACAGGACTTGGAGCAACCTGGGATAGTGGGAGGTGTCACTTCCCATGGCAGGGAGTTGGAACTAAAGATCCTGAAGGTCCTTTCCAACCCAAACCATTCCATGATTCTATGATTGCACATTATTTGGCCGAGATTCCTACAGAAACTAAAACAGAGATTTCAACATCAAAGTCCTTTGTTCCCACCCTCTCTTGTGCAGGAAACCTCATTCCTTTTCTCACAACTCTCTTGATTTCATTTTCTTTTTTTTAAAATTAAAAGTATTTTAAACCTCTCATCATTTACTCCTCCTCATGCACCTCACAGGTGTGACTGGGTCTCCCAGCCTGCTCTGGGCCTGGAGAATCTTTTCTGGGAGAGGAGGAGAAATAATGTGTCTTGATAAATCTGCACATTGATATTACAGCACTTCAAATCTAATTAAAAAAGAAAGAAGGAGTCAAGCTGAAAATGAATGAGTCTGTGCTTCCCCTTTGCTTATAAATATATATACCAAATGGTATTTTGAATTGTTGGTTCTTCTGGGATTTCAGGGATTTTTAAATAGCAAGTGTGAAAGGGTAAATAATATCAAGATAAAAATAATGCTTTTGATTCCCTGCCTGTGCCACGAACACATTCTGCTCGATGGAAATGGAATGAACTGTCAAAAAAAAAATCTAATTTACTTTTCCCATCTTTGTTATCCTCCTTCCCACACTTCAGCTGGTCTGGGAAGCGGGGTGGGTTGGTGGGTTTCAATGGACCTTCTGAGAGTTCCTGGTGCTGCAGGGGACCGTGGAAATTCATGACACCAGAGGGTTCTGGGTGGGCAGGAGGAGCCTCTGGGTGTGTTTTGTGTAGGGTTGGAGTTGTCATCAGGGCAAAGGCTGCTCTGGAAAGGACTTGTGTGTCTGTGTCTGATCCCTGTGAGACTGGATGGATGGGTGAGTGGATGGATGGATGGATGGATCAATCAGTCAATCACTGACTGGGTCCTTCCACCCTGGGCATGGGTGGTCATGTGTTTCCACCTGTGGTGTCAATCCAGGCAGGGGGATGAACAGACTGAGAGCAGCCCTGCCCAGAAGGACGTGGTGGTGCTGGTGGATGAGAGGCTGGACATGAGCTGACAGTGTGCCCTCACAGCCCAGAAACCACCCGTGTCCTGGGCTGCATCCAAAGCAGGGAGGGCAGCAGGAGAGGGAGAGGATTCTGCCCCCCTGCTCTGGTCTGGTGAGACCCCAGCTGGAGTGAAGCACTGCATCCAGCTCTGGGGTCCCCAGTACAGGAGGGACATGGAGCTGTTGGAGCGAGTCCAGAGGAGGCCACAAACATGATCAGAGGGCTGGAGAACCTCTGCTCTGGATGAGAGAGCTGGGGGTGTTCAGAGTGGACAAGAGAAGGCTCCAGGCAGACCTTAGAATCCCTTCCAGTACCTAAAGGCGCTCCAAGAGAGCTGGAGGAGGACTTTGGTCAATGGCCTGGAGTGACAGGATGAGGAGGAATGGTTCCAAAGTGAAAGAGAATAGGTTTAGATTCAATACTAGAAAGAAATTCTTCCCTGGGAGGGTGGGGAGGCCCTGGCACAGGTTGGCCAGAGAAGCTGTGGCTGCCCCGTCCCTGGAAGTGTTCAAGGCCAGGTTGGATGGAGCTCTGAGCAACCTGGGATAGTGGTTGGAACTGGATGATCTAGAAGGTCCCTTCCCACCCAAACCATTCTCTGATTCCATGACTGCTGACATTAGAGTGTGTGCATTTGCCTACAGCATCATCCATTCGGTCTAAATTTAATCCATCTCTTCAAACATGAGCTTAACTCACAACTGAAGTATTGGGATGTGCCTCCATGGTTGTTCTTGGTGTGTGTGTGTGGAAATACTGCAGCTTGTCCTCCAGTGGCATCACCAGCCTTTCCAACTACATTTTATTTTGCAGCAGCCTTTTGGACACGGACAGGTACAACCTGTGGCCACAAACTTGCTTTGGGGTTAAGGTTTGCAAGGTGGGAGGAAACCTGGTGCCCATCACTGGATGCTGAGTGC